AGAGAGAGAGAGGAGAGAGAGAGAGAGAGAGAGGAGAGAGAGAGAGAGAGAGGAGGGAGGGTGGGGGAGATGCACATCTTTATGCTACGTGTGAAGGCGTGACAGTGGTTTGTGCAGTCGGAGCGAAAAGGCCCCGCAACGATAATCGCATGAAATCGAGACTCGATTATTATCGAGATTATTGATTTATCGAGGTTTGATCGAGATCGATAAGAGCGAAATATTTCACTCACTACCGGTACAAAGAGACGGGTGCAAATCACCGATCTCTATAAGTATACTAACAGGTTTACTATATACTAACATGTTAGTATAAAATAGAGATCAAAATTTGAGTAAAATAGGCTAGCACCGCCATCTATTGGCAATATATAGTAGTAATCACATCGCAAACCCCGCTGTCTGTACCGTATCTATGTATTTGTACCACTTTTTTTTCTGGAGCGTTTCCCCCGCGGCAGTGCAGAGTGGACTGCACCGAAGCAAGGGAGTCAATGTCTTGCGATTTCTAGTTCAGTGAGTTTGTTACCAAGGCACATGGTCGCGGGGCCAACGTTCGAGGTCGAAAAAAAATAATGACACACTCGAATGGCAGAAAGAATGCAGACACTTCTGTAAAGAATGAAATATGTGTCGCATGCTCAGACTGGGTAGATATAGTTTCTCTAGGCCCATTATAACGCCAGCGTTCCCCGCTTTATCGGGTCCTGGATGAACGGTCGCATCGCTCAAACGATTTACGCCTTTAAAAAACAATCCACGTGTACGTTGTCGTGTGTTCACCACCGCTTAATCGGGACCACCGCTTAATGAGCACCACTGCTTAATCGGGACACTGTTCCCGACCAATCCCGATAAAGGAGGGGGGGGGACAACCGTATTCGATTACAAACTTATCGATGATGCTAGCGTCGATTCGCACAGACGTGAGTGCATTAGCTGATTACATACACAAATACAATTTTCTACGACATGACTAGAAGAGCAGTTTTTCAGCTTGCTATCGGGAAATCCGCACGGAGTCTAGAGTAGACGGAGCTGCGAGTGTGTAATATATATATGTGTGTGTGTGTGTGTGTGTGTGTGTGTGTGCGTGCGTGCGTGCGTGCGTGCGTGCGTGCGTGCGTGCGTGCGTGCGTGCGTGCGTAGGTGCGTGCGTGCGTGCGTGTGTGTGTGCGTGTAGTG